TAGGTTACCTTTATTTCTATTTTTCAAATACTTGATGTAGAGTTTTTGCAACGTGTTTGATGATTTAGTCGTTCCGTTTATGATCCATATATTTTTTTTTAATTTCTTTTTTGTCGATTGGAATAGTTCTAGAAAATTTACTATAAATATATTTATAGATAGTAAAATATATTAAATAGAGTTTGTCAGTTTAAGGTTACGTTCTTGGTATACTTTACTCCAATTTACTGCCGATTATCAAAAAAACCTGCATATTATCAATGCGGCTACAAAAGAGTTTTGTAGCCGCATTTTTGATGTAGTTTAGATAATGTTTAGATCCACACAAAAAAAAATTTTTTTTGCCTTATTATTTATTTTAAGAAAAATTTATTTTAAGTAACTTGAAATTTTGCTTATTTTACCTATTTTCAATAAAAAATAAAAACTTTTGTTGTTGGTTATATCAATTGTAAAGACCTCGCTGTCGGCCTCGGAAATTAAGAGTTCTTTTCTTATTTTGTTCGCTTGACCATTTCGAATATATGTTGCAATCCGTTCTCTCCTCTTGTTTGTTTCTCGTTAATAAAATATTTGTTTTTAATTTTGCAATTTGAAAATTTGAATTTGTTTGAAATGATTCTTCAGAATGTTTCCGTTAGACAAACATGTTTCTGTTAGAAAAATCATACAAAATAAGTAATTGCAATCTGTAAGGAACTGTTTTAGTTTGATATATTCCAAAAGCAGGAGGTATTTTTATGTTTAACTGCGTATTAGGTATCTAAAGAAAAAAAAAAGGTCCTGTTGAAAATTTCGGAGCCCCTAAAAGTACAGGGCAAGAGCTTAAGTTCATTTAGCCTCCTTTTAGTAAAATTTACCTTTAGTTTATAAAGCTGTTTTTTTTTTAAAAAAAAGGAACATTTTTTACATATGTTCGATTTTTAAAGTTTTTTAGGCAAAACATAATTTTTTTCAGATTTAGTAGATAATTCTGTACATTATTGTACGCAGTAATGTAAAAGTACTGAACAGAAAAAAAAATTTTCAAAAATTTTTTTTTTTAATTTTAAATTTATAAAAATGAAAAAATTGCAAAACCGTTCACTTTTTTTTTTTAAGGTTTTATAGAGATTAGTGTCAATCAATCATAAAACTAGATGTCTAACTTGCGGGATTTTATTGGACAAAAAGTGAAGCCGCTTTTTTTTGTTTATAACAATAGTCCGCCATTGGTAAAAAGCTGAAGCCGAAGTGTAGAATAAAAGTTAAAAATGCACGTCAAAAGTTACCAATAAATTAAAGAAAAATCAAAAACACGTTTTAACAATTATAAAATACTTTTAAAAGTTTTTTTATGTTTATTAAAAAGTATTTTAAATCAGGGCCGCCAAGAGGGAGGGGCAATTGAAGTAGTTTGCCCCGGGCATCACAGTCTATGAAACATCACAAATGCTTTTAAAAAAATGATTTTAATGATAAAAAATTTAGCTGATATCATATTTAAAACTTTTTTGTGTATTAATTTCCTTCTCCTTTTAAACTTTGTTTACATTTAAAATAGGATAACTATTACTTTACAAGGTTTTCATTTTCCATTTGAACGCACCCGTTTTCATTGGCCTTTTGTTTGCATAGTAAAGATTATTTTTTTATTTAATGGCATGTAAAAGTTCTTTTTGGCAGGATTTAAAAGTCATGTTTTTCAAAAGGAATGACCTTTGTAAACTAAATTGGAAATTAAAAAAAATAATAAAAAGTTTAGAAGGGGGAAAAAATACCTAACACACTACCTATAAATATCTATTTAATTTTGAGAAAAAAAATTGTTAGTAGAATTCTAAATCTTTAGTTATAGACATTAAAAACTTGTGCCGCGGAAGTAACGATAGGTCCCTTCCGTGACACAAGTTTCAATTGGTTATAACAAAAAAGTTATTATTCCACATGCAACATCTTTACCTGAAACTAAATAGGTCTTTATAGGTAGCATGTTAGGTATTATTGGCCCCTTCTAAACGATTTTTTTTTTTTTTTTTGAATTTTTTTAATTTAATTTATAAAGGTCATTCCTTTAAAAAAAAAAAATTTTAATCATGCTCTTTTGGACATGAAGCAAAATTGGAGATGAAACAAAGCGATAGAAATTTTATAATTTATTTATTATGTCACAATTTTTTTGGCTTCACCAAATTTAGCTTTTAGGAGTAAGGATTATGTTTTTAAATTTTAATTTATATTTTGCATTATCTTATTTTTAATTTAAAAATCAAAATTAAAAACTATAATTGGATATAAATATGGATTACTATTTTGATAATTTTTTATTTGCAATTAGAATCTAATCAAAAATTTTTCAAAAATGGGAATGGAAACTTCTTGGAGCTTATTGCTAAGCAAGGCTACGACAATGGCGCTAATATGGCAGGTATTTATAATGGAGTTCAAGCTTTGATTAGGCAGAGTAATCTACAAGCATTTTTCCTTGCTCTGCTCACAGTTTGAACTTATGTTCAGTTCACGATATTGAATTATCGGCTCCTGCAAAATCCTATTTTGAAAATAGCCCAGTTCGTCGGAAAATTCTTCAGGAGGAGACAAACCAATCATTACATAAACATTTTGTTACACGATGGAGCTCAAGGATTGAAACAGTTAAGCCACTAGCAAATAAGCTAAGGAAGAACTTGAAATCATTACATCGTCCAAAAGAGTTAGACCTTCCAGGTGAAAGAGGGATGAAGTGTATATTCTAAAGTAATTGATGAGTTCTTTTGAATTTTTTGTTTTCACTATTTCTTGGTATAAATGGTATAAAAATCTTCACTCTTGATGAAGATTCTAAATGGTCTTTTAACAGATTTGGATTTAATCCGTTTGTCTTGGGACCTTATTATATCTTATATAAGCAACAGAAGTTGCAAAGAACTTGAAATTTAATGAAATGTTTTCTGTGAACAGAACGCAAAAAAAAAAGGTTTTCCCTAATGAAACTGCTAGTTACAACCACGAAGAATCATCAAAAAACTTTGAATGTAATGTCTTCAATGATGCTCTCGACAATCTGATTAGTCAAATGAGATCAAGATTTAAAGTAATGAAAGAGAAATGTAACAAGTTTTCCTTCCTTTGGTCTTTTCCTTTGAACAGAAATCTCAAACAGACAAAGAACTAGGTTTAAAAGCTTAGAATCTGGCTAAAGGTTACCCAGAAGACTTATGTAAAAACGAATTTTCCGATGAAGTTTAGCATTTTTTTTCCGTTGGAAAAAATATTCTAGCCAGCAAAAAGCCTGTCGAACTTTTAAATGAAGTTTATGCAAAGGGGTTGCATTCAATACTTCTACAAGTGTGTATTTCACTTAGAATCTTTCAAATATTGCCCGTTTCAATATCTGAAGGTAAAAGATCTTTCAGCAAGTTAGCTACCATCAAAGATTATCTTTGTTTGACATTGGAACGGGAGCGATGTTGATACTTGGTGATCCTTTTAATTGAATCAGATTTAGCCAATAATGTTTCTTATGAAAAAGTTTTTTTTCCCGCTAAAAGTGGCTGGAAGATGTGCTTGGTATTAAAACTTAATTTTACCATAGTTTACTTTAAAAACCAAAATTAATTAAATGTGATTTCAGGTTTTCTATAAAAATAAGCAAAAAATAACTATACTAGTTTATTTCGTATTTGTCATTTTAAGACCTGAGGTATGATAGGACATCCATTAAACTTTTGGACCCGGGCATCACAAGAACTCTGGGCGGGCCTGTTTTTAACTCATGAAAATGCTTCAAAATAGTAAGACGTTTTACTTTTCTATTCAAAACTTTAATCCTTTTTTAATCGTAGATAAATTAAGGAATCATAAATTATCATTTTAAAAATATTATAATTTCCGCTTTTAAGTAAATAGTATTTAAATAAAATATATTTACTTCATTTCAAGGAAGGGAGGGGGGGCTAGGGCTATAACCCTGGGCTTCACAAATTTATGGACCCCCCAAATTTTTTTTTTGTTGTTGTCATTTTTACGCTCTGACTTATAAAAAGGCCTCCGAAAACAAAAATAGCCCAGGGTCCAAAGAAGTCTTCATCCGCCACTGCTCATTTATTATTATTATTATTATTATTATTATTATTATTATTATTATTATTATTATTAAATGCTGTAACTGGTATGAACCAGTGAGTGTGTTATTAGCACACTATGACAGCTGATTTGCCTGACTGCTGCTCATCCAGCAATCAAGACCGGCTTTAAAACTGTTAACTGTTTCTGAATTAACCAAATTGTTCGGCAAGCTATTCCATAAATTGGTTGATCTGTTAAAGAAAAAGTTTTCTTGATGAGCTTAGTGATTTACTTAGTAATTTCTTTTACATATTTAAACCGGTGACCTCTTGTTTGAGTTTGTTGAAAATAAAATTTTCTTTTTGTTTCTAATTTGTTAAAACCGTTAAAGATCTTAAAAAGTTAAATCGTGTCTCCTCTCTTTCTTATATTTGTTAACGTAGTTAAGTCAAGAGCTTTTAGACGATTCTCATAGTTGATTTTCTTGAGTGATGGTATTAGTCGAGTTGCACGATGTTGAACTCTTTCCAGTAAGCCAATTGCACCCTTTTGATTTGGTGACCAAACGGGTACTGCAAATTCTAATAGTGGCCTGATAAAAGATACATAAAGTGATCTCAGTAGTCTAACATCTAAACGAACAAAGCATTTTCTAATCATACCCAACATTTGATTAGCTTTGCCTACGCATGATATCACTTTACTTTTCCATTTTAGGTTGTTTGAGAAAATTACTCCCAGATCTCTTTCAGATTCTGTTACGTTTAATTTTTGTTTATTGATATAAAGTGGTGTTTTCTGTTATTAATCCCATAATCCCAATTTAAGAAAAGAAAAGTTAAAAATATTTGTTTACAAATTTAATCCGCCGTTTGTAAAAAGGGCAAAAAGCGGCTTCACTTTTCGTAATGAAGTTAGACATCTAGTTATCACCTTATGCACCTAACACACCTTGAAAATACGCAACTCTAGTTGGTAGGAAGGGGCGAATATTTATATTTTGCAGAATATCTTATATAAAATACTCAATACGTAAACATAATAACATCATAAGATTAGAACTAACTTAAAATCTAAGGCTTCAAATTTTTATTTATTTTGAAAATTATTTTGGATTATATTCCTAATTTGAGTAAACAAATATTTTTTTTAGTATAACATGTCTTGATATGAATAAGCTCCGTTTGGTTTGGATTCCAAAGCATTGTACAAGGTTCTTCCAATCTAAGAGTGAACAACAAGATTTGTATTCAGTTTTAAAAGTTTCGCCAGATGCTACACAAAAGCAAATTAAAACATCGTATTTTAATCTTTCACTAAAGATTCATCCTGACAAAAATAAAGTTGTTGATGAAAATACAAATGAAAAGTTCACAAAACTAACTGAAGCTTATAAAATACTTAGCAACAAGAGCTCTCGAATTGAATATGATCGATCTCAGCGTGTAAATAACTCTCAATTTGTGTTTGATAAAAATCTGGACCTAAATAACCAACCAAATACAGAAAGAATGCAACAATTTAGCCAAGTTAATGGTATTAATCATGATGCTTGGTCCAAGCAACATTACGAAAAAACTCTTATGTTACGTGATATAAGATTGAAAAAAAAAATTTATTTAGAAGTTGATTCCGAAACAGAAAAAAGTACCATATCTGGCAGATATTTTTTTATGTTTTCAGTTATTTTACTTTTGGGAGCTGTTGGTTTAAAAGTCTTTTGAAAAACATATGTTATCATTTTTATTTGTACTAACGGTAATAATATTTAAAAATACTTATTAAGATTTTTTTTTAAAAAAAAAGGTTTACATTTTTATTCTGTACAAACGATTAAATAAAGTAAAAATTATCAACTTCTAGTATTTAAATAAAGTAAAAGTAATATTTTTGTTAGTTTAGCAGGGTCCATTATCTACAAAAACTTTTTAATTTTTATTAATGGTCATTTTTCTATTCTGAATATTATATATATATATATATATATATATATATATATATATATATATATATATATACACATATACATATATATATATATATATATATATATATATATATATATATATATATATATATATATATATATATATATATATATATATATATATATACATATAAATATACATATATATATATATATATATATATATATATATATATATATATATATATATATATATATATATATATATATATATATGTATATGTGTATATATATATATATATATACATATATATATATATATATATATATATATATATATATATATATATATATATATATATATATATATATATATATATATATATATATATATATATATATATATATATATATATATATATATATATATAAATATAACTTTTTTAATATAAATTTTAAAGATTTATCAATATTCATAAAGCTTTTTTATTTTATTTAAATATACTTTTCATATTAAACATGTTTGTAATAATTAATACTTATTTATAACTTATTATTATTGTTAGTATTAAGTATTTTCATATTAAAAATGGTTGAAGCTGAAACATTATTTGATTTACTTCATATGGAGACAGTTTCTTTTTTGCATAACCAAAAGTGTTCAACTAAAAGCGAAGCAAACACTAAACTTGAACAAATGGGTTTTCGTGTTGGACACAGTCTTATTGAGAAATTTTCTAAAGATATGACTCGCTTTAAAGATGAGCTTGACATAATGAAGTATATTTGTAAAGATTTTTGGGTTTTATTGTATTGCAAGCAAATTGACAATTTGCGCACAAATCATCAAGGTGTATATGTATTAGTGGACTCAAACTTCAAACTGCTTAATAAAATTACACTAAGTAAACAATTAGTTACTGAAGCACAAAAGTATATAGCTTTCCCATGTGGTTTAATTCGTGGTTCTCTTGCAGCTCTTGGGGTGACTTCTTTCGTAACAGCAGATGTTGCAGATATGCCAACAGTAAAATTCCAAGTTGAAATCCAAAGAACATAATGGTTTGGTCAGTTTTTCTATATGTCATTACAAATAAAAGTTATTTTTTGTTATTATTATGCTATAAAAATGCAATATGCACTATTAATAAGCAATATTACAATAAAGTAAAAGGACAAACAAAAATTTTAATAGAGTGTAATCAAAGGTTTATTAAGCTTTAAAATAGTTATGATGAAAAGGTTTTCAAAAATTTACTTTAGTTTTGTTTACAAGTTAACAAAAGTAAATAACATTATGTTAGTTATATTATTCATATGATTTAAATAAATGTTTTATGATGTGCTCCTATTATAGCCTAATATATTATTTACCATAACAAGGTGGCCACGCCTCCTATAAATCCTAAAATATCCTAATATTTGAAAAATCTCCTAAAAAGACCCAAGTAATCCTAAAATTTGTTTTTTGAACTTTAAGTTTTCATTCAAACATTCAACTTGAACTTTTAAAATTTTTATTAAAATTTTTTAATAACATTTAAATTTCGTTGAAAAAAATTTTAAAAACCTCCTAAATAGTTCTAGTTTTTTCATTCCTTTTTCTAAGTTTCCTGGTAAAATCTCCTAAAAAGTCCTTAAAAAATCTCCTAAATCGCCTAAATTTTGATAATTTTTAACTCAAAAAAAGTGAGGCCACCCTGCGTAATTTATAAAACTGTCTAACTTTTTTTACATTTAGAATTTATTATTCAAGTTTTATATTAGAATTTATAATTCAAGTTTTATAAAGATATACTAGTAGCTTTAATAAAATTTTGCTTATACTTGTGAAATAAAAATTGTTTAAAAAACAACAATATTTTTTATGAAGAAAAATGCTTTTTACTTGAGATTTTATATTTTGTATATACATGTATATCCCTGCATAGGATGCATCAAGCAACTGAGGTTAGGTATTATTAACGTATTATTAACATTCATGAATAATTCATAAAATGTGGGAATTTTGTTGCAACATTTTTAGTTGCCTTTCAAAGATTGGTTTTTATAAGCTTTTCCTTATTTTTTTACAGCTATATTTTTACAGCTTTATAGTAATAAATTAAAAGTTTCAAAAGGTATTGACAGTTTTTTTTTTCGATATAAAATTCTAATTTTCGTCTTCAATATTTTTTTGTGTTTCACTGTAAACGTAGAGGTATATGATCATAAATAAAATAATCGTAAGTTAAAAAAATCTTTTTCAAACACAAAAAGCTGAGAAAAATTAAATTTATTTAATGTAAATAATTATATACATTGATTAGAATGATCATGATGCCTACGGGGTATTTTGGATCAAATTGCATTGGGTAAGTTAAAACATAAAATAACTGCGGGTTTTGTTGATTTTCTTTATTAAAATAACATTCATTATTTTAGAAATTACTAGAAAAGTTCTAGTGGTTTTTAAAATGATGGACGGATTGTCTTTTTTAATTAGTTTACATTAAAAATTCACTTGTAACTTACAACTGAATTTTTGATATACATAACTTTTAAAATAAGTTAATTATAATTTTTCTAGTTTTGTTAATATAAGTTTATAGTTTGAAATATAAATTTATAGTTTGGAACCTGATTTAAACTAACAATTGTATTTGACTAACTCTGCATATGGAAGACCGGGGTTAATTGAACTAAGAGCTCAATTTTACATAATATTTGCATTAACTTAAATAACAAAAAAAAATGGTAAAATTTTTTGTTATTTTTTTAACTTAAATAACAAAAAAAGTAATTTACTAATAAAAATGTTAAAATGACGAGTTAAATTATAATTTTTTTCAACCAGGTTATAATTCAATACACTAACCCATAAAAACGGTATACGGGCGTATTTTTTTTTTTTTTTTTAATTTTTGACTCTTTTACTTTTGGAAAATCACTTCAGAAAATCACAGCGTCAATGACGCTGATTGTGACAAATGAAATTATCAATCAAAAAACCAACGTTTTTATTTTGCTCTTTACAGACAGCCTAATGGTAGTTTTGACACATTTGAAAACACTTAAAAAATATATTGCCAAAAGTCATTAAAAAGCACTTTTACTTAACTGGTGATTTTAACATAGACATTCAAAAATAATAATAATGACTCCTACGCTAAACGTTTTGTAAATACTCTTCAGAACAGCGTAAAACCTGTATTAAATAAGCCAACGCGCGTAACACGCAATAATTCTTCAACTTTTGATATGTTATTATTAATAATGTCATCAACAAATCAAACCAAAAAATTAAAAACTGATATTACTTTCGAACTGATATCACTTTCGAAATTTCTCATAACTATAGTTCCTGAAGTCAACAATTCCTTTGCGACAAATATAAGACAAATAAACAACAAATCTATAATAAAATTTCGCAAATTAACAGAAATTGAAATCTTTTAACTGAGTGGAATGATGCTAACGATGTACACAACTTATTTTAACGGTTGTTTTCTAATAGATTTTTGAAAGTTAAAAAAAAATACTAATTCCAAAACTTTAATAACTCGTAAATGACAATTCGCTCTAAAAAATCATCTAGAAAAAAACAAAGGCTGTATAAATTTTTTAAAATAAAATTTTTAACAATGAAATTAAATACAAAAAATATAAAAATTGTTCTGAAAGATTAGATAAAAAATTATTCACTGCTATTCCAAAAAAATTAAAAATTAAAAATAAGCATGAATGAAGAAATATTTGACAAAAAAAAAATTGCTAAAAACTTACGTAATTTTTTATAAACATAGAAAAAAATTTGGTAGAAGATATAACTCGCGAAAATAACATATTCCAATCCTATTTAAAAAAAGCTCATTATTCAATGGAGTCGGAGCTGTAATGTCTGTAAATGGACTTCAAGCATCTTTTAATGCACTTAAAATAAATAAGAATGCAGGATTTGACGATATCAAGCTGTTTTTGATGCTATTAAATTACTTATTTTTTATCTTAAATTTTTAACTAACAACTGATATTTTTCTTTTCAATTAAAAATATCAAGAGTAGTCCATAATACAAAAATGGCGGTGGTTCTATAGCATCTACAGTTACGGAAAAAAGTATCCGAACAAACTATTTTTAGATATAACTCTATATTAAATGAAACCTCATACTGTTATATATTTTGTTGTAGCTCTCGACAAGCTCTATCTATGAGTACCATCAAACATTTACTACATTAGGTACAGGCCTGGCGCTTGACATTTCAAAGGTGGGTGATAAAATATTTTGGCGCCTTAATAAAATAAACTTTAAATTTTGTAATGTGTTTTATTGCAATTTTTTTGAAAGAAGTTTTTAAATTATCTTGAAAATACTTTTTTATTTTATTTTTTATTTTTTTTTATTTTTCAATTTTTTGCCGTAGAAAGTTACAATTTATAAAATAACATAAATAATAAAACAAATGGCTGGAGCAAGACTTTTCAAAAACAATACTTGTAAACTATGTCAACGATTGGTTAGCGGAAAAATAGACATGCATAATTAGACCCGCCGAGAGCTTTCATGACTTTCGGAGCATAGTAGCAATTTGACGCCCTTATAAGAATGTATATTTTAAAAATAAAAACATGTACAATTATTCAAGTTAATGACTATGTTTTTGTTTAAAGTAATGTTAACTTATATCCATATTTTAACTCTATATCTGATCTGGATTAATTAACACAGATTCTTTGAAATTAATATTGAAAACCCTTTTTTTTTTTCTTTTTACAGACAAAAAGTGTCCAATAGACGTTTCTGAATCTTTTCTTTTATAGTGGCCCTCTAATCATTTTTAAAATCAATTTTAGTTTACTTAAAGGTCGTTCACCTTCTGCGACAGGTACTGGCATTGCGTTAAAATATTCGAATTAGAATGCACATAGATTGGAAAATAAGCTATAGACCCTTTGAGTATCTTTGCTTTAGAAAACCTAAAGTGCTTCCAAAAGTGATAAATGAAGACTACTTCAAACCACTAAGATATGAAATATCTTTCATAGAGTTGCCTTCTATTTTAAGCTTTAATTTTTACCGGTTCTTAATCTTATAACCAGATAAATGAGAATTTTAAAAAAACTGTTTTTACAACCCCAATATTAAATTGAATTTGTTGAACAGAATAACAAAGCTTATTATTAAAGATATTCTATTCAAAAAGTTTATTTAAGATAATTTTTAAATTTCCACAGCTTTAGTAAATTTTTGAAGTTCCTTAACGCGAAATAAATAATTATACCATTCATAGAAAATATTTTATGACGTGTCAGATAACTTACAATTTTGTTATCATTGTTCGCTTCGTAAAAAATTCTGTTTCATCGCCTAGACTAGTCATCTGCTCATCATAAGTTGATCTTTTGGTTGAAGATAAAGTAACGGCATTAGAGCAGCAGTAATTTCCCGGGGTCGTTTTGCCATCACTTTTATAACGGCAATCTGAGGTGAACATCTGGTATCTAAAAGCTTGTAAAGCAAGATCTTCCATCTAGCGGCCCAGTGGTCATGTGTCGTCCGGGGGACATCCGCCGGACGACTAAAGGACGTTCAGTCGTCCGTAAGACGTCTCAAGGACGTCCTCTGGACAAGGCATGTCTACTGGGGGAACTGCAGCTGAAAAATAAAAGATCTTAGATTTTTATTTATTTATTACAATAATTAATAAAACTTATTCATAAAAAGTTTAATATTGATAAAGGAAAGCAGCACAAGCAACGCCAGGCTTTCATCAACATCAGGCATTCATATGCTGATGATTGATAGATTCATATGATTATGATATTGCTGCAGCCGAAGTAGCATCATAAAAATAATTTTTAAAAAGAGTTTACTGTAGGTACGTCAATTAACCTACTGTAGGTACATCAATTAACCTACTGTAGGTACATCAATTAACCTACTGTAGGTACATCAATTAACCTACTGTAGGTACATCAATTAACCTACAGTAGGTACATCAATTAACCTACTGTAGGTACATCAATTACATCGTGCGCTAAGTTATTCCAACGGTTTGCAACACGGTTTTTAAATAAGTGTTGACGTTCTGAGTAACCTTTTATTATTTGTGGTTTTAGACAGATCATTTT